TTGTGAAAGCGAAACTACTTTGTTTGGCCTTCCAAAAGAGGACGATATCTGCTTCGTCATGCCTGGAGCTGATCCGTGCTGGTCGCTGAGTCGTCGCTCCGGCCGGACACGGCATCAACAGTATGTGTGGGGCGTAACATTTCCGTCACACGCTTGAGGTATTCGGCCAATCACAACGCACTGGATAGCTGGCCAATCAGAGCACACCTCGCTTTTCAGACCGATGAGCTTTGTAAAAATTGACGCGTTTCAGAAAGGCGGGGCATAGAGGAGAAACAATAATGTACAGTATGTGGAAAATATTGTGTTTTTTTAACCTTAAACCGTATAAACAAATTTCATTACACCAAATACACAAAATAATGTTCTTTTTAGCAACATCATATGACCCCTGTAATAGGCTATTTAATAGTAGTTTCCATTCCAACTAACCCCATACAGTGTGACAACATGCCACATTTTAGGAATGCTGTCACAAAATGTCAACATGTGCTTCTTAAACTGTATCCTGGGCAATAACAGTGAAAATGTTAATTTTATAAATATACAAAAAAAATGCATATTTATTAATGCTTTTGCAATGTAAAACCTTTTACCATGCCAGGAAATTTTACTGAACCTGAAATAACAAAGAAATGCAATGACAGAAGGCATGATATTGGACCAAAAATGGACATACAATTACAATGGGGATTTATGTTTCGAGTAGTTATTTTTTTAACCTTTACTAACATACTGGACTGAACTTGGCAAACACCTGCTGACTGTATCATTCCTATAAATCAGACTAAATAAGCCACCTTCGTTCATGGCAGTAAAAAGAGAACAATATTTTGTTCATTCATACAGATAACGCAGTTTAATGCAAAATGCAATTGCTTCCATAAACTAAAGCATTGTTTTAGAAGTTATTGGTAACATGTATGATTATTCTATTACTGCTCACCTGTAATTGTTTAGAGGAGTGTGGCAGTGAGACGTCTGCATGGCTGACAAGGCCCCTCGAACATAGCAGACTTCGTTTATGTGCTTATGCCAAATACTCCATGCACAATATTTTATCTACATAAAAAACTACAACTACAATGGCGAAAAGTGAGGGGAAAAGGGCAATATTTGCAACTGTTACCAATTTCAACACCGCTACAATGAACGATGCACTAGAAAGCGGAAGCTGTCGTGTATTCTTTCGACAGAAGGAACATTACGAGTTGGCTACACTTATCGCCCTCTGTAGTTTAGGAGTATTGTTAACGCATTCTCTCAACCTTTCTCCCTTCCTGGGCAAATCCGTGTAAAATGGTAAAATGGGGTGTTACAGTTTGACGATGTTATTATAACAGAAAACTTTCTTTCTCCCGTTTGCGCTTTTCACAGCTGAAATTGTTTACCCAGGCGTAAACCCTGGGGAATGTAATCTCGGGTTATTTTATTCTACTTTCCACACTGTTCATACTTTACGCTTGGTTAATTTTAGATCACACACTGTTTCTAAATTCAAAGTTAATTTCTTATTTGCTTATTTATGACGTCAATAACATTGAGCCCCTACTGATAGTTGCGTGAACTTTTATAAGAACTGCTTGTCCAAAATTGGAAAAGTTGCCAACTCCACCGTCTGTCTAAAACGTACAAAAAGCCTTCTGGATGAAAATAATGTAAATAAAACGTAAAAAAAAAAAGTTAATATATTTTAAATGGTTATGGTTTCAGAAGAACACCAAGACCACTTCTAAGGGCGTCTCTATATCCGCACTGAGTGTGTCTGATTGGTCGAGTAGCGCGATAGAGTCTCTGATTTCACTTCAGAAACAGCATCACTGCGACGTACTTGTAAGTATAATATCCTAATTACTTAAGACCACATATATTATGAAATGAATACCTTGTTCAAAGCATGGATCGTAGAGCGCAAACTTTTTTAGTTTGTTTTAGGAAGACCGAAGTTCTACCATCTGATGTTTATTTCCGATGTTTCAAATGAATTTATTTACGATAGCCTTTACATTAATGTACATAAAATGCGATTTATGTAATTTAGAGAATATGTTCCTTGACATAGAGATTTAAATTGTCGCATAATTTTGTTTCTAATAGGATGAAAAAAGTGAAAGTTTGAGGTTGCAATGGCCAAAGTAAATATTTGAATGACCTCAAACAAATGGAAAGAATGAAAGCTCACAATTACATAGCAAATAGATATTTTTGTGCTGTTGTCATATAAACTGATTGCACTGTACCCTTATTTTTCGAGGTCTGTCGCTAAGCAATATTACGGTAGGCTACCAGAGAGAGAGTGAGACTTTAAATACTACATAAGTGCAGTGCATGTAGTTCCCTAAGGCAACAGAATACGTGGCTATACCCTCTCTCTGAAACGGTTATACTGTATGTCTATGTGTACAGTTTCACTTTCTTGATTTTATCTGGCCTATTCACAAGTGCAATGGTATTGCTTTCAGTTAAACAGTATACCCTGATAGCACACGTACATCTCGGAGACGGTCTGCATTTACATCTGCAAGACGTATTTTTTAGAGAGTTTGCTCATCTGCAATACGTCTATAGGACGTTTCCTTTTAAATGTCAAACAGACGTCTATTAGATGTCTTTAAGATGTTTATGATTTAGAATGTATGTAAAACTGACATCTGAAAGAGGTCTGTCAGACGTTTGTAGACAGCAGATTCTTTCCGGATCAAGAGACCTTTAACAGATATCTTGCAGACGTACGTGTGCTATCTGGGATAGGCTAATATTACATTTTGTTGACAGATTAATTGGCTCTGTATTTATGTATTTATTTATTTTTAAATATTACGCCTGATATTGTGTCCTAGTACGAGAAAAAGCCAGAGCCCGGAGACCTCATTGAAATCTCCCGAGGCTTATACCAGCACTGGGCTATTTATGTTGGTGAAGGTTATGTGATTCACCTGGCACCACCCTGTGAGTATTTTACATGCATGCCTCAAATGATATTGAGCCTAACTTGCATTGAATCTGAAACATTCCATTTAAAGGCACAATATGTAAGATTTTTTTTATTAAAATATCCAAAAACCACTAGAACAGTGTTATATATTTTGCTGACTTGTGTACTTACATTATCCCAAATGTTTCGAAGAATGTTTAAATCCAGAGAAATAAGCAATTTTAACTAGTGACACGGACCCGCGCTCGTTCAGTGGCCTCGTTTTGCTTCGGCGGCTTTCAGCCTCACCCTGCTTCATTCTACTACATTAATAAATCATTAGCTCATCCATGAACATGATTTCTGCCTGAGTCCCGTCGGATTGCATCTGCTGTGGGGATGAAGACGACAACTCCCATGATTCCACACTCAGTCACGGCGTCATCAAACTACGCCTTTGTCTATTTGTTTATTTTGAATACGCGCCCTCTAGCGGCGAAAATTACATGTTGTGCCTTTAAGTCTAATGATTGCTTTTACTTTTCCATTTCTTTTGTTTACAGCTGAACATGCTCAAGCTGGGGCCAACAGAATCATGTCAGTACTACATGAAAGAGCCACAGTGAAAAAAGAACAACTTTATGAAGTAGTTGGCAATAATGATTATCGTATCAACAACCTTTTGGATGAGAAATATAAGCCACGTCCTGTTCGAGAGATTCTACAGGATGCACACAGTTTTGTGGGAAAAGAACGTACATATAGTGTGTTTACAAAGAACTGTGAGCACTTTGTTACAGAGCTGAGATATGGAAAACCACAATCCCGCCAGGTACAGTTGTTTGGCATGACCTGGCATACTGGGATAATTCACACAAGTACTGTTACTCAATTATAATACTCATAAATGTCTCAAAAATGCAAATCACTGTATTACAGGGCTATTTATGGTCAAATATTTTAAAATAATTTATTATAGGTTTAAGGTCACAAAAGCAACAACTTTTCACACAGTGAATTCTCTCTTCCTTCGGCTTGCTCCCTTTATATCAGGGGTTGCCACAGCAGAGTGATCCGCACAACCGATTTGGCACATGTTTTACGCCAGATGCCCTTCCTGTTGCAACCCAGCACTGAGAGTACTTTTCACACAGTGAATTAATATAGATAATTTCTGTTTATTCTAATAGGTGCAAGATGCAGTGAGGACTGTTGCTGCAGGGGCTGGTGCAGGGCTTGGCATTGGAATCATTGCTTATGCAGTTGCAACCTTTCTTGGTTCAAAAGACAAAGAGAAGCAGACACAATGAACAGTGAGAAATGAAGAACTAAAAGTACTGGATTATTTAAAGCCAGTAAATTGTTTGTTACTTTTTATTCTTTTTAAATAATTGAGATAAACCATTAAACTTAAATGTAAAAACTTGGCAGCCTTAGTTTTATGAGCACAAATGGAGAAATTCATAAACAGAATGTAAAATCTATTGTGGTGTAAGGTAACTCAATAAAGAAATGAGTCCATAGTCCACTGATAAATCTCTTCTTTCTTGTTCTTCTAATTTATTTTTTTATTTTTTATATATATATATCACACATTTATTTTTCTACTAGACTTTTATAACTGTCTATTATAACCAAAATATAGAAAGCTGAATACAGTGGCAGCATGAAAGACGCATAGTAAAGCTGCATATAGGCTGCCATGTCATCAAGCTCCTTTCGAAGGACATCTCAATTTGAAGGATCCTTAGTAGGCAGTCTATGTTTTGCATCCGTCACTCGGCTTGTTTTGAAGGATGTACATCAGGTGTATCCTTCACGTCTTTCAATCACCCATATCCTTTTCACACATTCCAATTTGCCAAAAAATGGCATGGCCAACCCTATAAAATCTCTGGCCACCCCACTGGCCCCCCTATTCACCAAGCCCATGTTGACAGTTCATGCTTAACATAGGATAATACTTTAGGCCAAGGTCTACACATATTATCAAACATGGACTTAAATATTTTACATCAAAATTAAACAGCAAAAGACATTCATTTGTTGAGGATTTCCTCCGTAAGTTCCACCTAAACTATCCTGGCGTGTGCTCGCTTTAGCTCGCCACTTTACTGCAGTGTTTGTGAGGATTGTGAAGTTTGTGAGGATCGCTTTGAACTTGAAATGGACAAAACTCACAAGCAGTGTTGGTTAGTAACTGATTACATGTAATCTAGATCACGTATTCAGATTCCAAAAATTAAGTACCTGTAATTAGAGTCTATTCATTTTAAAATATTTGTAATCAGACTTCAGTTACGTTTTTATTAATTAGATTATTACATATATTATTCACACAATAACAATAAATTATTTAGAATGTATTGGTTCTCCCTAATTCTTTTTTTTTTCATCTTTTAAATTTTCCTTTCTAAAATCGCCTACTGCTTATGTTTAGAAAGTCTTCCAGTTTTGTGGACATTCACACAAAGACCGTTACTAGTCAGGTGCAGGCCACACAGCATTTGACCACTGGATGTACAGAAGTTAAGCTTAATTTTTTATTTGATTGCCTTTTCATCAAACTCACAAACCCCTGCAGTTTGCGAACCCCAGTTTGGGAAACACTGACGTAATGTAATGTTTAATGCACTTCATGTTGTTAATTACAATGAATGGAATATATTTTCTTTCTCTTTGTATCAATATGATACAAGATTGTTATATTTAAATCGATGTGACAAACGAGTTAGATCAAAAGTAATCTAAAAGTAGTCTGATTATATTACCTAAAATTTGTAATGTGTACCTGTAATTGTGTAAATTAAATTATATTAGATTATTTATTAGATTATATTACCTAAAATGTGTAAATGTGTAATGATCACGTTAATTAAATGTTTTTGTCATATAATTTTGAATCAGTAACAAACTACAATTGATCTAAGTAATCTAATCTGCCCAGTCCAGTAATCTACCCAGCACTGATCACAAGCAAGCATACAAGATATTTCAGTGTTTCATTTCCCATGTAAAATCCATGGATCTTGTAGTGTTTATCTCTCTGTAACTTTTACTATCAACTTTATTTTTTAAATAATAATTTCCCATTCACTCTTTAATGATTTCACCCATGTCAGCTGTGTGGACTCTAAAGGCCGGGTATATCGATCTCTATTTTAATCTTTACCGATATGAATTCTTGCATTTCAGGATCGTTCTTTTAGTCTGTGCTGTTTTCTGTTGATGCATGAACAAAATTGCCCTAAACATTGTAGCGCCTACCATCCAATAACCGCAATAGCTTTCTACTTTGCTGTTTTTAGTGCAGCTATTTAATAAGAATTTTATCGCTGTATAAGACAAAATTGTGTTTCCTAAGCCAACAGAAAGAGCTCGATACCTATCTCAAACAAGAGCGCATGTTTTATGTCAAAGCTAACAAAACCGCAAGCAAACAGTTTCACTTTCTTCTTCTTTTCTCTTTATCTGTTCATAGTAGGGGGAGAGTGGGGCACAACCTACCACGGGATTAGCTGTAAAACACATGGTTTAAAAGTACACAGGACAGCATGACGAAACGGTGTGGAATGTTGGACACTTCATGTCACAGCTTTAATTAGATTACATTACATTTTAAAATACTTGTAATCAGACTAGTTCTCTTTTTTTTATTGATTACTTGATTATTATTGACAAGCTATATAGCTCTTTAAAAATGTTACAAAATATGAGGCCTGATGATATTGTGTCCAAGTAGCCTATGTAGGAGTGGACTTCAATGAAATCTTCCTATATCAATACTGAGCTATTTATGTTGGTGAAGGTTATGTGATACATCTGGCACCACCCTGTGAGTCATTTACATGTCTTAAATGATGTCTACTGATAATTAACCTAAAAATGACAATTAAGTCATCCTTTACTCACCCTGGTGTTGTTCAAATGCCATATGCTCTTTGCTTCCTTCTTTTTCAGACCACATCCCTTGTATTGAATCTAAAACATTCCATTTTAAATCTCATGATTGTTTTTACTTTTACTTTTCTTTCAGATAGCTGAACATGCTCAAGCTGGGGCCAACAGGATGATGTCAGTACTACACGAAAAAGCCACAGTGAAGAAAGAAGAACTTTATGAAGTAGTTGGTAATAATGATTACCATGTCAGCCACCTTATGGATGAGAAATATAAGCTTACATGGAACTGTGAGCACTTTGTTACGTAGCTAAAATACGGAAGAAGACCACATTCCCACCAGGTACAGTTGTTTGGCATGACCTGGCATATTGAGATAATTTACACAAATACTGTTAGTGTTAGTGAATAATAATGTTCTCATAAATGTCTTAAATTTTAAAATTACAGCATTACAGGGCTGTATTATGGTGAAATATTTTACATTCATTTATTATAAGGATTAAGGTCACAAAAGCAACACCTTTTCACACGGTGAATTAATATATAGATACCTTATGTTTATTCTCATGGGTGCTAATGTGGAAATGGCAGTTGGTCGTACTGCAGCAGTTGGCATTGGAGTTCTTGCTGCTGCTGTAGCCATTTTTGGTTCTAAGACAGAGAAGCAGACAGTGAACAGTGGGAAACGAAGAAGTAGGCCTACTATTGTGGAGGCCTTTGATTATTTAAAATCAGTAAATTGTTTGGTGCATTTTACTCAATTTAAATAAGTAATTTAAATGAACAATTAAACATATCTTGTCAATTAGACAAGAGCTTTGCTGTGAAAAAATTCACAGATCAAGCTGCTGAATATGACACCGGTTTCATTCCTCTAAGTGTCCAACTTTTGTCGCTACGAAAAAAAACCTGATTTCGGCCCGAAGGACAGCGTCACCTGAATTCACAAATCACGGAGAATGATATTCGGTATTATTTGCATGTCGGTATGTAACTAATCAAAGATGATGCAAAAAAATAAATAAAAATAAGATCCACCTTAAGAAGAGATGTTCAGAAATTAGGTTAATAGAGCAATTTCTGGAGCACTTCAGCAGGTGTCTTCCACGTGAGAGTGACAGTGGGAAAAAGTGTTTTGGAGGAACATTAAAATGTCATTTGACTTAAAAACAGCACATTGACTACCTTAAGGCTGGCTCTTTTAATTACCATATTGCAATATATATATATATATATATTTTTTTTTTTT